AACTCTTGCTTTGGGCAAAAGGAGAGCGCTTACTCCACTATCAAAAAATCCACATTTCTCGCAGGTCAGTGCTTCACTCTGAAGTCACATTAAACATAGAATCATAGAATGGTTTAGGTTGGAAGGGACCTTGAAGATCATCGAGTTCCAACCCCCCTGCCATGGGCAGGGACACCTCCCTCTAGACCAAAGCCCCATCCAGCCTGGCCTTGAACACCTCCAGGGATGAAGCTTCCACAACTTCTCTGGGAAGTGCCTCACCACCCTCAGAGTGAAAAATTGCTTCCTAATATCTATTCTAAATCTACCCTCTTCCAGTTTAAAGCCATTCCCCTGAACCTATCACTACATACGTTTGCAAAGTCCTTCCCCAGCACTCCTGTAGGCCCCATTTAGACACTGGAAGGCCGCTATAAGGTCTCCCCAGAGTCTTCTCTTCTCAAGGCTGAACAACCCCAACTCTCTCAGCCTGTCCTCATAGGAGAGGTGCTCCAGCCCTCTGATCATCTTTGTGCCCCTCCTCTAGACCCAATCCAATGGGTTCATGTCCTTCTTATGTTGCAGACTCCAGAGCTGGAAGCAGTACTCCAGGTGGGGTCTCACCAGAGCAGAGTAGACAGGCATAATCGCCTCCCTCAGCCTGCTGGACACACTTCTTTTGATGCAACCCAGGATACGGTTGCCTTTCTGGGTTGCGATCATGCATTGACAGGTAATGTTGAGCTTCTCATCAATCAGCACCCCGAGTGCCTTCTCCTCAGCACTGCTCTCCATGCATTCCCTGCCCAGCCTGTTTGTGCTTGGGATTGCCCTGGCCCACATGCAGGGCACTGCACTTGGCCTTGTTGAACTTCATGAGGTTGGCATGGCCCACCTCTCCAGCCTGTCCAGGTCCCTCTGGATGGCATCCCACCCCTCCAGAGTGTCTACCTTGCCACACAGCTTGGTATCATTGGCAAACTTGCTGAGGGTGCACTCAGTCCCCTTGTCCATGTCACCAAAGATGTTAAACAGCACTGGTCCCAGTACCAAACCCTGAGGAACACCACTTGTAACTGGTCTCCACTTGGACATCAAGCTGTTGAACACAACTCTGAGTGTGAGGTCACTCGTGTCTTTGAGTGACATGAGGTTGCCTATCCCACAGGCCTATGGTTCAGCTAGCTGTGGTGAATGAAGGCTGAGTAATAAAACATACCGACAATGGCAATTTAAATACATTTAGGGGGAACTCAGTAACTGGGAAAACAAAGAACATGTCCATCTTTTGCATCTCATAGGCACAGAACAAACCCACATCCCGTTCAGAGCTGGAGGTTCTTCTGAGCCTGTCTGCTTCATGTCAGAGAGCTGTATGAGAAGTCCCCATAGGTTTTACAGCTACACAGTCATTATTTCACAGGTTGAAGCCAAGACACACTTACCTGTCAGCATGTAGTTTTCTTTTTAAATATACTGCAATTGCTGTTATGGACAAAAATAAGGCGCAGTTCAGTAAGTCTCCACAACTGAGCAGAAATGTAAAGCTTCTGACTTCCTTCAGTTAAAGGCTCTGGCAGCACACAGGTTGCATATTTTCTTGCTTTCCTTTATATGAAACCCTCCACCCACAGCAAATCTTCCTGCATGTTTACTCTTAGCTTGACTTTCTCTCTTCCAGTATTGCCTAATCAAGGTCCAAACTGCACTGCACATTGAAAAGAATTTGTCCCAATGAATCCTTTGTGACTCCAATCTCCAACATTTTGTATGTGCCCGTTTGTAGGAAAGTGTTTCCCGTTCTTCTCAATACCCAACTATTTCCCTGACAGAACTAATAAAACCCCACAGACTGAAAGAAAAAAAAAAAAAAATCAGATCTGAATGACTGTGTTTTTAACCGGTTGTAAGGCAAAGAATAATACTTAGAAAATACAGAATAGGTGCCATACTTTTTAAAATTAAGCCCTAAGATGTGTCATGTGCAAAACAAAGAAAAATTTCTATACTCAGATTAACCTACAGTTACACGTTGTCCTTCTGCAGCTGCACTAGCCATAAGCATCCAGTTGTCCCAACTATATGCACGCATATCCAATTAATCCTTAGGTTTACATGTATTTACCGCTAACTCTTTATGCGCACTCACCTGCAAAAGATCACAAAATTGATCTGACAAATTCATGTCTGCACTGAAATTATATGCGCAAATGTGTGTAACACTTAAAATACTTATTGCAGCTGAACATTTAAGTTTGAACAATTTGTGTACGTATGCAAAGATTACAGAAGTCATCTCTTCAGGTTTCTTTAGCCACCACAGCAATTGCATTGTATGAGAAGAGGGCTACACATTATTTTAGTATGCCTGTCCTATCCTTGAAAATTCTCAGTTTTGTGTATTAGTGAAACTGGGAGTTCTGAAGAGATTACATTTATGGTGTTCTTGCACGAGGATGGTGGGGAGAAGAAAAAAAAGATAGGTTGAATTGGAAGGGGAAAAATACCTGTTGATTATTCTGTTCTATCCGCAAGCAAAGCCAAAATTATTCTCTTTGATAGTTTTCCAATGAGAAAATGCCATTTTGATTATTTTTCAGAAGTTATGCCACTTCAATTTACTGAACCATTTTTCTCACAAGAGTTTAATTTTAAAATGGCTGACACACCCTAACAGGCTAAATACAACTCAGCACACTGACATTAGTCAAAAACACTTGCTTTTACTAAAGTTTATTTTAAAGAGACAAAGAGGGCACAGTACCTAATAACAGAGTGAAAGACTTACCTCCAGCACCCTTCAGCTTACATTAGTCTGGTGATTTTAGTTAGTTAAACCTGATGGCACCTCTTTGCAGCAATATATCTAACAATTCTCGCTAGTCCCTAAAGAAGAGCTACTTGGACAAGAATGTGCCTTTCCTCCCCTCTTCAATTTACAGATCGAATGAAAGTGGCGTGGCAATGGGATTCTGGGAGCTCTTGATATAAAAGAGAAGAGAATCCTGGCCTGGTCCATCAGAAAGTTCCTTTTCTTTCTACTCGCTTCCTTTCCTTTTCAAACGAACATTCCTTTGTATCACCCAGAACAATGGCTAATTCTTTTGTAAAAAAAAAAAAAAAAAAAAAAAAAAAGTTTGTAGGGAAGACTTAATATGTAACTTCAAGTTTCTCTAAAGGTCAACATACCAGCTATTTTAGCTACAAGTATCCGAGTTACTCACAGACAAGATAAAACAGCAATTTTCAAGGTGTGGTCAATAGATACCCAGGATAGATACCCGGGAGCACTTCACTACAAGCAGCACTTAAAACTTTTGTATCAAGAACAGCTGCACACCACGTATCTGTTCCTGTCTGCAGCTTTTAAATCGTTTTGTTTTAAAACCCACTTCCCCCCACCCAGTTATTACCATGGAAGCAACCGTTGTGGTAATGTTACAAATGATACATAATAAAGAAAAGGTCCATGCAAGGCCTTCAACCATTTAAGATCCCTCCCACAGAGATAAATATTACATCTTACAGCTGGATTAGTGCCCGAGGCAGAAAGTTGAGCAGTTACGGAAAGGATTAAGGTTAAACAGTGGAGTTGCTAAGGAATACTTCTACATCATGAAATAAGACGAAACATGAAGAGTAAGAGTTAGATTTAATGATTAATTAAATTATTACTGAATCCAGCTCTTACACTTCTTTTCTTTCTCATAAGTAAGGAAAACACAGGGTTTAGGTAATCGGTAGTGTATTTCAACAAAAATATATGCATTGCACAAGGATAAAAGCAACACTGAAATTGCAAAGATTTTCATTTCATGTAAGAAATTAAAATTATGCACTAGTGGAAAAGTGTAAATGGGAATATTTTAGTAGTCAAAATAAATATTTAATAAAAACCACACACCCATGACAAAGTATCAAAACAACAGAATTTAGTATTTGGAAGGGTACTATCTACATCTCCTTGTGTTAACATTGCTAAATTCAGTGGCTTAATTATTATCACACTGCCTTCAGCAATCATTGCTTGTATTAGTGTTGTAAAAACTCATGAGAATAAAAATACCATTCCAATGACAGAAACAGAAATAGTAAAGCCAGTTCGCTATAAACAAGGAAGAATTTACTACACCAAGGAGTCAATCCACAGCCACTGATACAAAGTCAACAAGGACTACTGCATAGCATACTGGTTACTGTACCAAAAGTGCGCTTATCAGCATTCAATGAACCGGGGAAAAAGTGAGAAAACCACCCTTTTTTGTATAATTTTTAAAAACAACCAGATGATTGACAGTTGAAGAAAAAAACCACACATTTCCTTTAAAAGTAATAGCATAGTCTAAAGATCTTAAGAGCACCAGAGGATTTCTAACAGGTAAACCAGTACAAACCATTAGCATTGCCAGTAAAGAACAATTAAAATATTATTTTATCATTCCATATTTAGAACACAACTGAAAATTTTAGTGTGTTGTTGCATCCTCCTATACTACAACCAGTGGCATTTTGATGACTTTATGTTAAGTTCTGGAAACAAATAATGCAAACAAAAACTCTTTTTCATGTATAGTAGAGGTCTAGAAAGATTTAAACTGATTATGTGTAAACTGAAACGTAGATGTTAATACAAACAGATTTGTATGGGGGGAAGCAGCACTGTCTGGTATATCCCATTAATTCTCCATTCAGTTCTTTCACTGATTCTTTGAAGTAGTGTTACTGAATATCCCTGACTACCAGTGACTTTTAGGAGTGCTATTTTCTCACTATTAGGATTCTGCATTTAAGATTATTCTCAACCCTGTGTCCTTTGATTCCCACCCATCCCCCACATTATATTTAAAAGTTGCGGTTTTCTCACATAAGGCATTGTAATGCCTTTAGCTGCTTGTTAAGTGATATGCAGTCAACATTATTTCTACTTTCCAAGCACTGAGGCCACTTTCCAGTTGGATCACATATTAAACGATAATTAAAAATAGTATTCTCCCCTTATTGTATTGTGACACGATAAAAGACTATTCACCATTTAATATACGTTCAATCTCTTCTAGTCTTTTCAAAGCAGCAACTCTCTTTTTCTCAATGTCTTTGATTTCTTTTGTAGACTTTTTGGGAGTCTCTTTGTCCGTATGTTTTTTCTCTGTTCGTTTCTTATTTTCCGATTGCCCTTTATTGTTATCAACTGTTGTTTGGGTGGTTTTCTGCTCATTTTTTACTTCTTTCAGATTTTGAAATGATTTTTTTTTTTCTTCTGCAGCTGCAGTTCCGTCTGCTGGAAGTGATGACTGCTCCGTAGCACCAAGTGATGCAATTTTACTTCTAACTATGTTTAGATGACGCTGAATATACTCTTCATGAGGTGCCAGTGCTAGCGTTTCAACCAAACATTTCTCTGCTTTTATCAAGTCTCGTTCTTCGAAGTAAACCACACAAAGATTATGCTTCCCTTGTACATTGTTGGGATCCAGTTCCAAAATTTTCTCAAAACACATCTTTGCTCCAACAATATCCTTCTTTTGGTTCATAAGGATATCTCCTTTCAAAATCAGACCTTTGGTATGATCAGGGTAGTATCTCAGTAGGTCTTCCAGGACGGGCAAAGCCATCAATTCTTTTCCTGTCTGAGAATAAAGCAGTGCCAAATTGAACAAAGCACTTCGGAAGTTTGGCTGTAACCTTATGGCTTTCTTCATCCATGCCTCTGCTTCCGTATCTTTTTTGTCATCCATTGCCAGCATACCCAAATTGAAGTACCCATTTGCATCCTGTGGTTCTTCTTTCACGTAATGTAACAGTCTTTGTTTAGCTTCTGGTCTAAGCCGAGCTTCACCTAAATGACAGAAAACACATTTAACTCCAGATTCACTTACTCTGAAGGATTTTTAGACCAGGCTTGTAAAATGCTAATTTTTATACATAATAAAATGTAACATCTTTAACACAACTGTTTAAAGGGAAAGGGTTTAAAATGCTACTTTATATCATTGCTGCGTAACAGCAAAAGTAAATGACACCTACCTTCTTTTTAGAATGAAACTACTTACAGTTGACTTGTAGCCAAAGTCAGCACCATTATTCTATGATCTGTTGAATTATATTTAGGTTTGGTATAATAGATACAAATACTGTCTCTACAAGTTTAAGAGAAGTTATTTTCATGTATGGTTGAGCAACCAGAATGCAGTGAAGACACTGGTTCTGACAAACCAGTGCTTACAGAGGCAAGCTTGGGGTAGAACATCTCATTTTGTTAAAGACAGATTGAAAGAGTTTAAAGGCAGAGATCGCATAGGGTGATTTTAGATGTAGTCAGGCTAAAATATCTTCTAACACTCAAACAATAAAATCTGTAACTCCCATATTTTAATTTGCATCAAAGTTTGAAAAAGATATACTAAAATAAACTTATCTGACAATACTATGATAAGCTAGACTAGCCTGTAGTCTGCGCTATTTTCCTGAATACTCCAGTGAACTTATTTTAGTAAGCAGTTCCAGACAGACATACAGAGGGAACAAGGACCTGATTTTAACTGCCTTCTTTCACCTCCCGAAACAGTGCTGCGCCTTCCCGTATGAAGAATTGAATACTAGATAGCTAATGCTTCTGCTTGTTTGAAGCCCCTTGTGTCTCTACAGACAAGATACAAGGCATTTCTTGTACCACCTAACTTACAACGTGAGAAGAGATGGAGAATAATAATCTATTTGCATCAGCTCAAATCAACTCTGTATTATGTCTGTCTGAGGGGTAGTTTTCTAGCCCAACAAAAGCAAAACAAACCTTATTGGTCACTTGTCAAATACTCTTTGCAACCACCTGATTCACAAAAGACTTATGCTTACCCATACAACTAGAAGCTACACATATGAAAAAAAAACTCATGTAAATCTGACTTAATTCATACTAATTAGTAGTATTACAGAGGAACCTATGAAAACATTCACATTTCCTAGGGCTACATTTAGAGCTCACAGAAGTCAGCTATATTTTTTAGTCAATGGAGAATGAAATAAATCAACATAAATGCAAAACATATATATTACACATATTTTACTAAATATGATCTTTTTAAGATTATATAGGCACAATTTTGAACATGTTTGTGTAACACTTTTTATATGTATAAGATGTTATACTGGAAAATAGCACTTGTATTAAAGATGCATATCAGCTAAGGTATATGTACACTTTGCACAAATTCCATACACTATTAATGAATTACAAAGTTAACTATTACAATACAGTTTCTTCTTCAATGATGCTACGAAGTTCTGCTTTCCAGAAATTAAACAGTTCGTTAAAAGAAATTAAATACTATGGATCCTATAAATGCAAATATTCATATAAAGTACAACTAACATACCAGATTCCTGCATTAGCAGCGCTGAGTTGAATAATGCCAGTTTATGTGTTGGGTTGAGATCTAGCGCTCGGTTGAAATTCTTCAGGGCTTCTGTTGGATCTTTGAGTTCAATGTAAACAATTGCCAAGTTGTACCACAGGTCTGCATTGGTTCTGTCTAGTTCTAGAGCTCTAAGATAAGCTTCCTTAGCTTTCAGAGGTTTGTTCATTTTTAAAAGTAGTTCTCCCCTGTTGAAGAATCAGATTTAATCTTCAACTTTTATTCATACTAATATAAAAATAATTGACAGGTTTTTTTAAAAAAGTTTGCGTTCCTATAGACAGTAGATGTGAAATAACAGCATTCTTTCTTTATTTATTTTAAACACAAAACAATACAGGACCTTCTTTACATGTAATTCCGAAAGCTTTCAGCTCTCAGAAGTCTGTACACAGAAAACACGTATGCAGGACAAAAACCAAAAAAAGAAGTCATCAAGGGTTCCTGATATTGGCTCTGTAACTACACTGCAACAGCTATAGTTTAGGCATCTTTGCACCTCTCTAAGTCCCAATGGGAATTATAACTAACAAAATAGCAAACAGAAGCCTCAATACCCACAGTGACATTACTCATCTATTTAGCTGACATTTATGTGCTTTTTAGTTAAGTCTTCATTTTCTGGACCACCTTTAACAGAGAAGGATAAAGAAAGCTCAAAAGCTATTTAGTTCAAAACTAGACTAGGAGATTAGAAATTTCAGTTTGAGACTCAAAGAAATATGGCATCTTGCTATACAATGTTTGAATACACAGCCTATGTGGAAACACACCATTTGCAGCAGGACTTTAAAAGAACAGGGCTTGTAATGAATAATTGATTATTGCCCCAAATCTTCATCTTCTCATTTGGAAAGGAATGAATTCCAGCAGCTAATTCAACTGTATGAAGTAAAAATTGTTCATAGCACTGCAAATACATAAATGTTTATTCCAGAATGTGTATCTCTAAAATTAGAAAAGATACCTGCTGATGTAAGCCTGCTTGAAATCTGGCCTCATACTAATTGCTTGTCGATATAATTGATCCGCTTCTTCAAGGCGAGATTCATTTGCTCGAATTAAGTTTGCAAGATTGATATAGACATTCAAATGGTTAGGAGCAACTCTTGCTGCATACTTTTTACCTGGAATAATCTGTCAAAAAGAATATATGTACCAAACACAGATAAGGAAAAATATAAAAGACAATCAGTATAGATCCGCTCTTCATTCTGCATTATTTCTTTTAGGGTATCACTGGACATTAGTGTGAAGGCTCTTAATGATTACAAATAACAATTCTTCTTTCCCAGAAAATCGTACCAAAATATAAACAGAATATATTTTCTTCTTTAATTCTATGAAAAGATAGATGACTTTAATATCATATTTAAGATATCAGTTATGTTCTGTTACTACATAATTGGGCTCGTGCAGAACACCACTACAAAACAACCAGACCTTGCAAAACTTTCCCCATTCAGACAAAGGATACTTCCTGAAGCCTAAATTTACATTCTATCAGACATTTTCGTTCCCTTTTTTAGCCCTCCAGCCTAAGATAACTGTAAATAAGATTTACCAGCCCCTGATATAGCAGATAAAAAGTAGTCATGAAAGATGAAAATGCTATGACATTGCAACTATTGTACTGTTTATACTTTATCCGTCTACAATCTTCATACTGTTTTACAATACAAACTTTTTAATGCCATGCTTCTACTCAAGGGACTGCTGATTTTTAAAAGTATGTTCAGGCAAAGATTTTTTTGTTGCTGCCGTGGCTACCTTCTCCCACCTCCAATGCTGCATTTAAGCCTTCTCTTGAGGGCACAGAAACTCAGTCATCATCAATGTATTAGCTGTAAGCGAAAATAAACCCACTGACTAGAAAATGTACGTGTACATTTTTAACTGCTGCTTTCTTCTATATCCTCAATTTCAGCACAAAAAAAGAGGCATTTTTTTTAACAGCCATAAATGTATACAACCTACTCTTTTAATAGATAGATTTCAAAAAAAACCTAAACAACTGGTATACACCATCACAGAGCTTCAGGAAGAATTTGAAAAATGTATCATTAATGTAGGTCCCTCCTGTGGTGGTAGATAAAACAAAGTTTCTAATTACCTGAGGCATCAATGATTTAGCAATCATATATGATTCTTCAGCTTCCTTAGTTTTGTTTAAGTTTTTGTAAGTTCTTCCTACATTCATGTGGGCACCAATATCATCTTAATAATAAAAAAAAAAGTGAAATTTTAAATACTTCCATGCACTGAGTATATGCACATGAAAATACTTATGCCTTCAGAGTCGCGTGAAGTAAAATTACTGCATAAAGACCAACAAAAAAGAAAAGCATTTCTGTATTATTTTTCAACATAATTATGAAGCTAATAATTTAACCATGGATTATAAAGTTACTTGAAAACTGTTAAAAAATTTGAGGTAATACTTCCACATATCTATCTTTAATCTCTTGCTATAGTAGGGGCACATAAATTGAAGGTGATTTGTTAGGCTTCTAAAAGGAAAAAGGAAAGGTTGTCCAGTACTACCTAGAACTTTTTTTGCAACAATATGTAAAACAGAGTAAATGTGCACTTTGGTACTCTCTCATTTTTTGATTTTTGATACACCTCCTTAGTTTTAAATAAGAAAAATAACAATTGTTTCATAAGAAATTACCATTTAAGTTAATTCAGAAAAAATGTCATCCAAATAATAGTTTTAAATGGAAAGTCTTTGCATGCTTTTATAGACAGATGACTGAGTTAATCTCCAAAAACTGTGGACCAAGTAACTTAGTGTATGACATTGTCTGATGTTCAGTTGGAGAAAAACAGATCATTAAGAAGATTTTAAATAAGCTAAGCATACTGAAATACTAGGAGTGCAGAGATACCACTCAACGGCAACCAGTCAAAGCTTTTACCTGGTTGGACTTGTGTGGCTTGTATGAAGAATTGCAGAGCTCTTTCAAAATTCTTTTCATTTTCTAACGCATGCCCCACATTGTTCCACAGTTTTGCATTGTTCTTATTTACCTACAAACAGGAAAAAAGATACTGATGCATAAGGTATTAAGCTGAAATTGCGTAATAACTGATTTTCTTTTAACTATGTCTTTAAGATGTAAAAATGGACAGCAAATGACAGATTTCATCAAGCTGCTATATGTAAAGAATAAAACTAACACTGCATACAGAATGATTACATTGAACTTGTTGCTCAACATCCATTTATTTTAGTTATTTTCCCCTAGAAATACCAAATGTTTTAAAATTCATTTGAATTGTTATGGGATATTGTATAAACTATCCTATCATGCCATCTGCACATTGAAAATAATATTCCATGCATCAAACTTTTTGTAGATTTTTGTACTCAAACATATCATGCTTTCATTCAGACAAGAGAATACATTCAACTGCTTTAACGCAAGAAAAAAAAAATCATTTATTTCTTGCACATGAATTCCCGTATGTGCACCACATCGCTTTTAGAGCATTTCCAAAAGCAACTAATTAGATGCTAATGCTGCCAATGTAGGAATAGAAGTGGTAAGACAAGCATCATTTCTCTCCATTTTTATCATGCTCTACTGCAGCTTTTTGGAGAACAGCAACACAAACTTTCCATTATCCTTTTCAAATAGAATACAGTACCTTTAAAGCTGACATAAACAATGTGTACTCCGACTCCCAATCCCAGTTTCTGTGCAGTGTTTTTAAGGCATGAGTGAACAGTACCGTAGCCAAACAAACCCAAGAAATTTTTCTTAGCACACTATTAAATAAAACAAACAAAGATTTGTTATAAGCACACAAACAACTCTAATTTATACTAGAATAAGTATCTCATATTGTAGAAGGCAAATGAACTGAGGACCATATTTGTGAATGGCAAATTGTAGCAATGTGTATTCTCAGTTACACCTCATTCTAAAAACGTTTGGTGCAGTCTGTTGATTTTTAAATATATATATATATGCTTATATATATACAAAATAAAAAATATATAAAATATATGTGAATACGTGTGTGTATGTGCACATATTTTAAATAAACATTATAATATCCTCAGAATAATCCACCAGTCTCCTCAGAACTTCCTTGTCATTTATTCATGACTGCCAAATGGTTTCTTGGTCATTATTCTGTGTTCTTTAAGAGCTTGAATCAGAGTAAATGCTATAACGTAATATATTCATACTGGTTAAAGCTCTACTGGCAAAGCTTGCAGTTTTAAGTATGGTTATTTTTATAAGATTGAGACGATGAGTTAAACCAGTCATAGGTAACACTACCTTACCTTTTATTTGATAATTTCTTCCATCCATGTGCTACTAAAATGCAGAATCCCATACTAGGAACATACAACACCCGTTCTGCTACTACGAATCCAACAGGAAAAAAGAGGTTTGATGCGGGAATGAATGGTAGCACTATTAAGCAGAGGGCCTAGAAAAGAATGAATTAGTAATTAAGATTGGGTAGTGACAAACTGTACCCAAAAAACAAATTACGAAGCAATTACAAAAAACAACCCCAGAAAAACAGACATACATAGAGGTTTTTTTTTTTAAATTTTAAACATTAAGATCTGTTTTAAACCGATACTACTCTGAGCATAGCAAGTTTCAACCTGCAAATGACACTACTCCATACTTAAGGCCCTAAAAGTGTATTTGTTTTTCTATACCACAGAAAAGAGTAGCTGTATGACAAAACACTAGGATCAACAGATCAAATTCAAAACTGTTTTAATGAGTTCCACATACAAAACCATGACAGTCTGAGAACCTTGAACATTATCTTTTATACCAATTACAAATTTATACCAGCGTACACGATGCACAAAGCAGTTATTTTTACAACACAATAAAATCCATTTTTAGTTTCTGGAAAATATGTGGAGAAAAAACAATCAGACAATCAGAATCAACCACTGAATAAACATCAGTGTTTGGAGAGTTCACTAAGGGCACCCCAAAATATCTAAAATGACAAGGAACTTAAGAACTGCATAATTGCAGCTCCTAGGTTGGTGGCAGACATCTTAACAAAAGGTGTGTCTATTAAAAGACAGAGAAATCCACCTGCTGCAAAGGAAGTGGACATGACCATTTGCTTTAAGCCCTGAGTGATTGTTAAATAGCAGTTTACCATCTCTGGTACCAGAAAAGACTTAAATAATTATTTCAAAAGACCTGGCCTCCGAGTTACAAAAAAATAAGACCCCTACAGAAATGGAAAGTTTCTTTGAAGAAAAAAAGAAAGAGGAATTTTCTACAAATTTTCAATACAACTGGTTGTCATGTTCTGTCCAGATTTAAGTGTAACTTCAACTGCCTTTTCCAAGCTAAAATAGTTAACACATCCAGCTTGAAAGTCAATCTAGAATTTCATAGATAAAAATGCAACACTGATTTAAAACTTCAGGTAAGGTTTAGCTCATATTTCAAGGGGCCAAGAATATACACATGGATCATTAACATGGCTCAGCTGATCCACAGAAATTCATTAAGCTACATGAAAATACATAATTGCACCTTGAAGAAATCACAAGGACAATATAGAGAATATGTTGATTACCTGGGAACAAAATTTAATTTAATGCCATTTCACATTCCTCTTTCTCCTTTATATTTTTATAAAACACGCTCCCTATAGAGCACCTACCAATCTGTAAAAGTAAAAGCCTCAACACAGAACTCTATAATAGATTTTTGTAATCCACTTTGAAATGCAGGATTTATCATGCTATCCCCTAGTCAGTCCTCTGTATCAGATTTTAATTTAGTTATAGCAAATGCCTTCACAACTTTTGGGAGTGTATTATGAGAAGCGAGGGTATCATTCCGTATTTCATTGTTTTGAGCAGCCAAATGCATTTGTCAGTACAAAAGAAAATGTACAAAAGCACATTCCAAGTGTGCTTTAGCAAACAATGTGCTGTTTTGCAAATGTTTTTACTGCGATGTGAATAAACTGTATTTAGCTTTATAATGCACATAAGGCTTGTACATAGGCTTAAATGAATTAACTTATTTTATGAAATCTTCTGATAAACTGATTTGAAGAAGTCAGATTTAAAAAAAAAAATTGTTTCATATTATTGCTCAAAAACATGCAGTTTGTTTTGGTTTGTTTTTAATATAGTAAGGACATCAGTCCCACAGCCCCGTGAGGTCAACTCATGTATAGTGAAAGCCGGTTCTTTCCAACGGGTTTGAGTGGAAAGGATTCTGCAGCTGATACAGCAAATGGTTGGTCTCCACTGAGTGCTTATGATCTAGGCATCTAATAAAAAGGTTTTTGCACGTTCTGCTCTGTGCAATTCCTCTGATGCCAAACATTACACAATGTTTTGCTGAACTTCTCTTTACATCCTTTTGCCTCTCCTTAGCACACTGTCCTTCAAGTACAATTTCTTGGGCAATAGACTCAAAGCCCTAGTGCAGATAAAAATGAGTTCTCCTCTGTTCATTTATTCTTTCTTTTCATCATGCAGCAGATTCAGAGGCTCCATTCAAAAAAATATCCTGGTCAAGGCAACTGAAAAAAAAACAAACAAAAAAAGAGAAAGAAACCATTAAAGTACGAAGGAAGAAAAAAGCGTACGACAAAACTAAAATACGACCATAAGCTATGAAGAATATCTGAACTGCTAAGTAACCAGTTCAGTTCACAAAGAAATATTTCAAAGCCTGAGTGAGGTGTAAGCATAGGAAGTAGAGAAATAAATATTTTTATATTTAGAAGTACTGATGTCTTGGCATGATACTTAAAAGTGTTAAAAACTTACTGCCAGAAGCCTAAGGATACCTGTCTTTTCCTGACATTTGCACAGCAACAAACCACAAAAATTTGTGGCTGAGTAGCATGGAGTGCTGTCTTGTCAGAACGGAGGTAAAGCACCCTTGTTTGGGACAGCAAATATCAAAAAATCCTAAAAAGCTTTCATTAAATTTCGCCAGCCAACAAAGGAATGTCTAAACCCAAGAAATTCTATGAACAAAGGCAGGCCATGATCGCAGCTTGATTCTGAAACCTGAAAAGCCACCAAAGCAATTCTAGATCAGTACTATTCATAGTACTCAACATTTTCAGTATGTGTAGTGTAACCTACTTACAAAGGTCACTTAGTCTGACAGACAAGTTACTTGACTGTTCACAAGGATAAGTAAACAAAAACTATAAGAGAATTTAACTGCTCATACACTGTTTCCAGTGCATGTCCTTTACTAATATAACAATAATTGATTACTTCAAGCAGCATAATGACATCAATCTGCCAAAGCATGTGTTTATAATACACAAACCCATTTTTTGTTAGTTTAACATTGTCAATTGGTTAGAAAAAAAGCAATTTATGTGTTTTGTCCTCTCCTAGTTCTATTATTTTGAAAAGACAATTTTAGAACCTATGGCAAAAATTAAAATATGACAAAATGAAACACAAAGTACCTACTTACCGGAGTTGTTTTTTTCTGGAGATGACTGGTATAAAACAGATGAAAACTGACTGAAAATGAGTCCTTCAACTTTTGCATCTCCCAGTAATGAGTTCATGCTGTGAGACTGTACTTGGGGAGAACTGTGGAATGTCCACTGGCACTTGAGGGAGTGGGAGAAGGAATCGATTCTTCTGTCTTGTCCCTCACAGAGTACAGCACCAAATCCATATCCACATCAGCAAAGACATGTTCACACATACTTGTGACCTCCCTTCACTTTTGCATTTTGGATCCCTCTTTTTTGCATTTTTTTTTTTTTCCTCCAACGTCCAAATAAGCGTCTTCAATTCTGCAGCAGGTCTAAAGTTGTACCTTTTCTGATCTCATGAACAAAAGGAACTTGAGACTTTTCCCTTAGATCAGGTTTCAGCATCACACCTCAGGTCTCACTGAGCTAGTGGAAGAGCCACAACATGCTAGAGGTTTGTAATAGCAGAACCTCTTTACAAAGCCCTTTATAGTCCTTTGGAGTGACACTCATTAGAGTGCAGTCAATCATGGTACCAACTGTGACGAAGCCACCGTTATACTAATAGCATATAGACATATATCCATATAGACAGCACATAGAATTCATAACCTGCCAGGGCAGTAGTTTATTTTGACCTGCACAAATTCAGGCCTTTATTGGCAGAACTGAGAACCAAGTGTGGAAACATTTTTTAAAAAACTAGTAATTCAACATCGTTATCTGGAACATTGCTATCATCTGTGTAAATTATTATCACTAAGTAAAGATTCACTTTCTTCACTTTAAAGATGGTACTGTGATTTCTCTAGGAATTCAGATTAAGAAGCCATCCGAAAGAAATTGTTCTCTCCCCATCTCTATCTTGGCAGACTATCCAGCCTACATCAGGACATTAATGGCTTCCTGGAAGGCAGAAATAGGCTTTGGCCTACAGTGCTGTTGGATGTTATAGTACATAACAATTAAATTTTAATATAAAATATTGCATTCTCATTTCCTAAGAAATTAGCTTCCAGGCACTTAGATATTATGTCTGAAAAAAAATCAGCATCGGACTGAAGGTTATATACACAACATAGGTATATATTAAAGGAAAACAACTTTCATTAAACAAGGTTTATACTGTGTTAAGCAACATTGAGGCTCACATGCCAGAGTGAATGATCTCAGAAAACCCTTCCTATAAAAAACACTTGGAATAATAAAAACAAATATAAAACCACCATCCTCAAACAAAAAGTAACTGACTTACAACAATGTATGCTGACAATTCCATTAAACCTTTCCTCTTCTGAGCTTTACTGGGTAGGGAGTAAACAGAAATGTAGGGAAAAAAAAATTAAAAGCGGTTTTATGAAAAAAAAAAAAAAAAAAAAAAAAAGTGAATCATTCCCCACACACACTTCTACTGCTATCAGTGCACTGGAGAAAAATTGTTCCAGCTCATGTAAGAGGGAAGATTAAACTACTCCTATACATTTTTTAAGTGCTGTAAAACTATAGCATTTTTTCTGGGTATGTCACCTTGCACATTTATTGTATCAATACGATAGGTTTCTTTTCTTCGTGCATAGTTTCCAAATTGAGGCCAAGAGGTGTCATCAGCAATACTACAGGTGATTTTCACAGATTTTCTAGTGAAACAAACTGCCTCGCTTTAGTGACAAGACAAGAAAAACCATGAGTCAGAACTACAACGTTAAGTCTCTGAAGTGCATCAAAGTTTGTCAGCTGATTAGCAAAGAAATCCTTAGTCTTAAAGATGCGCATAAATATTCCCATCCAACTGAAACTTTTCTTGGCTGAGTTACGTATTAAAAAAAGTACATTATTTTTGAAGCAGACTAAGATCTATGCATGCAGGTTTGTTGTACACATAATTGCATCACTGATTTAATAAAAAACATGGTATCAGGTAATCATTAATCTTGTGAAAATTTGCAATGGAAGCAATCAAAAAGATGATTTGGTTTGGATGAAAAATTACCAGCTCATTTGCTCCTTTCCCTTTCCTCCAAAATACTATTTCCTGTTAATCCATTTCAGTTTTAAGGTCATATAATACTGAAAAACATGAACTGATCTTACAGGTTGAGAAAATTAGTTTTTCCTTAGAATATGGAAGAGACTACAGAAGAGTGCCTTTGTTAAAAGAACAACAAAAGAGGAAAACTTGTATTTCCTAAATGCCAAAATATATCCTTTTCTTTTATACTTACAAGAAAGAAAACCAAGTCACTTGCTAAATACACAGCATGCCTACTACTGACATTTAAATAAGGTAGAGAGTTTGCAGGATGGAAATGCACTGCAATCCTTAAAACGTATTAAAGTTCTACTGAAAACTCCCATTTGCTAGTTGAGTTCTGAATACCTGAGAAAGGCTGCATTACAGTTTTGCAAATACGTAACAAGGGGCATATTTATCTCATCTCTTGTCTATTCTTCTTCATCTCATCCCTGAACATCACATACTTCATTGGAATTTAAGTTTTGTTGCTGCAACAATTTTCCTCTTTTCTTATGCATTCATTCTAGTCCAAAAGGAGATGCATGTAGTATCTCCAGGTCACAGCAGACTAGACATGTGACCAAACAACCTGAGCCACCTACACTCTTATAAGGACAAAAAGAATGCATCATTCATACCATCAATACAGTCTTGGAGGAATCCCCAGGATATCGGAGACTGAAGACAATCAAAGATCCCAGAAAGCAAAAGAAGGTAAGGGTGGCAATATTTCTAACATCTAACAAAGACTCCACGAGAGGAATAGTTCCCATTGTCCAGTCACAGCATAATTCTGATGGGTTGAGAAGAAGCCAAGCATTTACAGGGAGGAGGTAGTTGAAAGTCAGCTGTCTTGCTGGGGATGGACTAACAGCAGCTGGGTTATCAAACCTAAATCAAAAGAAAGGCAAAAAAGAAACTTTTAATGAAAAAAGTGGTCTTCATCTGCTTTGAACTCAGAAACCAGCAAGCTTTAGATTCATAGCTAGAACTACCAATTACAAACATGTACAATATCCTAATCTTCCTGCAATTGTCAGGGGTGTAACTTGTGAACTATGCATGATGATTCACCTTGGCATGGACCAGGGCCTCCTCCAAATTTAAGAAACTGGTTTGGGATATAATCAATGTAAGTTTGAAGAAACAAAATGATTTACACCTTAAGTTAGGTTCAGTGGTCCTTGCTCATGTTTTTAATAGTTTGCCGTATTTCCCAGGGAAAACATTAGACTCTTTTATTTCTACATTACTCACACATTTTTAAAATAAATTACTTTTTCAGTTTTAACATTATTTATATACACTTATCTTCATGCACTGTATCTGAAGTCAACCATGCTTTCTGCATAGTACATTCCTAAAACCAAAAACATATTTTGTACGTAGAAGAAAAAAAACTTGTTAAGAGGTTTGGACTATTCAGCCAAGGTTCAAACACATGGCCAATAAAAAATACTTTAGCAATAAAACATTTAATTTCTGAATTACTAAGATGAACTAACAACCCTAAGTTTTCAAAAATGAATGCCTCCTCAGATACCTCAATATTTTGGGCATTCTTGTAAACAGATACCGAAATATACCATTTATCAATTCCACAAAAAATGTAATATTGTACAGTCATTGCTTATCAATACTAAAATAAGTTAATAAACACTTAAGTTGATGTATTTTTGGCCATTTCACTCAGACCTCATTAAGCCACATATTATTTATCAGTGTCTGCAAATAAGAGACACACTATTATTACCTTGTAAACACTGGAAGTTGAGACTGGATAACCTGGACTCTGACAACTACAAGCAGCAGTGTACTAAACATTAGGACTATAAGCTTCAACAGTGTTTGGAGCATAGAGAAAGGAATACTGCCCTTCCCTCGAAGAATCTGTACAGCTGTGTCCAACAACACTGGCAAGGTGTACTGCAAAGGAAAACAGTGTTTATAATCAGACAGTGTACTCATTCCCTTAGATAAATGAGCTACCTAATTTATTATTTTTTTTTCCTCCTTGGTTTTCTCTAAATGCCTGTCCCCAATAGTTATTTTACTCAGCTTCTTTTCGGGTGTTGTCATGAAAGCTCTAAGAAGTCCACCATTCTAATAAAAATAACTATTTGAGTATTCTTGCTAACACTATCACAGTCAAACTTGTATGTCTGTAGTTCTGTATTTTGCACTAACAAATTAAAAAATTTGTCTCATCTTCAGATACTTCAATAAATCCAATATGACCATGAAATGAATTTTGAAGAAAAGAAATCACTATTTTTAGAATTATCAGCCCCTCTGAAAACTTGTCCTATAAATAAAATTCCTTAGGAATGGTAGAAATAATATTCACTTCCTGATTAGACCTGGATTTCTATTTTAAGCCTCTACTGCAGTAACCCATCTCTCCCTGTCTCATGGACTTTGTGATCTTGTGCAGTTCCCCATTAGGTACCCTAATTTCTTTCCTGTGTACCT